TATTTCATATTCAAGTTGTTACACTTACCAACTAACAAGACAAGTCTGTGCCTGTCTCCGTGTTTTCTGCGGTAGGCCGTCACCTCTTCATAAGTGGGCACATCAGCTGTGTCGTATTGCTCACTTCTCTTACATTCATACATCGACTTATTTGTCTTCTTATCTCTTCTGCTGAGACGAAAACTCCTCCGTAGACCCGCTGGAGAGGAAGAGAGAAACAAATAAAGACAAAAGAACAATAAGCTTGTCTTACATTCTTGTGTGCATTTGAAAATGAGGATTTAATGTAAACATATAGATTCTGTGTTTTTCTGTCAATATGGGGTGCTGCGTGTACATTAATGAGGAAAAAAAATTAACAAATGATTTTAGCCAATGGCTGCAATATAACAAAGAGTGAAAAATTGAAGGGGGTCTGAATACTTTCCGTACCCACTGTAAGTCTTACTGGATCTTAACACTCTCCTACACTTACTCATTCTTTACTGAGCCATTCACCCTGCCTACTGCATCTGTATAGGTTTGAGGTTGTGGTCAGTGATAAATATGCTTTTTGGAAGTAGGCCTGATATAAGAAAGAAGCTGATTTGGTGCCAATTAAACAATTTTATTACTTCAATGTTGAAAACAGTCGTTACCTAATTATTTATTTTTTGGAAACTGTGGTCCAAACTTATGAAATATATTGTACATGCATATTCCTTAGCATCTTGAGCCACTTTTAAAGGTGCTATATTCATTTTTTTGTACTAGATTTATTTTTCTTCTAAAAATATTTTTTTAATTATTATTTTTGACTATGTTCTACATATCCTCCATTCCATTCCTGTGTTCATTCATCAAATATTTTGGTGTATTGGTTACTCTTTCATCCACTGTCAAGTGTTTAGGTCTATTAGTTCCATATACCACATTTTACCATATCTAAACCAATTCCACAGATTTTCCCCTAAAAATCAGCATGGAAAATGCGAAAAGCATCCGCAAATTCCGTCTGGGCCCGATCATAACAGATTTTCCTGTGCGCCATCATCATATGAACCTACTTGTGGTTCTTTCATCCACGTCCAGGTAAAAAAAACGACCAGACCGAAATATCTGAGGCTACGTATTTCATGGGGACACGGCAGGAGGTGGCTATTTCAGGACACGGTCATAGCTATGGGTGTTTTTTTCATGCCCTAAAAGGTTGTTAAGAACCTCACCACAAAACCTCCTGTCTGATTACTCTGGACAGCACCAGTCTGTCTTTAATGACCCCAGACTGTATCAAAACTCAAAACGTACCCCTCATTTAAGCAGCACGGTTTTATATTCATGACAGATGCTAGTTAGTCTAGCACAGCCCCAAACCAGAGACACCTAATACCCCATCTCTGCACAAGGCATTTTCCCCTCCCGCCTTAACTGCATTTTATTTTTTTTTAACCGTGATTAATGAATGCAGGGACATGATGCAAGATGCGGCAGTAAGAAAATTATGGACTGAGAAGGGGAATGAAAAAACAAAAACCCTGATCCAGTCCCCATTTAATACTTTCCACAGCACTAAGAGACTGTGGAGCGCAGATGTGCGGCCATGGACAGATCCTGCATTCTTTACAGCTTGTTCTTTTCCACACAGTCACCTAATAAGGGCTGGTGGGGACCTACGCTGGGATACAAATGAAACACACCGTAAGTCAAGTGCTCGCTGTACCACAACACAAGTGTTTGTGTGGTTTCACAGCTTTGGTTACAAGCGTTTAGGACAGAGCATTCTTCCACTCAGGCTAACCTGTGGTCTCTGCTGCTCGTGCCACTTGACGTGTTGCCATCATGCTAAAACTCAACCCTGACTGGAGCAAAAACATCAACATTATTATAACAAGGTATGCATAAAGGTATGATTATCTGACAAATATCTACGTCATTTGATGGGAAAAAGGTTTATATTAATTTAAAGGAAATCATTCCCTTGGAGAGGATATGACTGTGACCTTAAGTAAGCTGAAACACTGAGTGGCTTGTTCCATTAAATTTTTGTACCCTTCAGTTTCGATAGTCGATTGGCTCTGGCATTGGGAATCTCCAATTTCCCGAGCACAGAGCAGGTGCAAAGCTTTTATTACGGCTGCTCGGCTGTGGCTAGTCAATGCAAATTGCAGTTCTCTGTCTGAAGAGGATTCGTAATCTGGACCCTTCAAAATCACTTAAAACAGGATAGACGGCTCCATCTAAATAGCCGAAATATTGCCTTCCATCTCAATGAGGATAAATAAATCAAGACACAGAAAGCAATCTACCCCCCTCTTGAACCCCTCTCCGTAACTGATTGAATTCGAATAAAAAAAACAAAAAAAAAACAACATGAAAATTAATCCATTCCAGTCTGAGCAGAAATGTGTCCACATTTTGGGCCTGCTTCTTGTCAGTGAACCTTATTTCTCTCTTTTTCCAAAGGACGCAGCTTTGTATGACAAATCTATATGTGGGGTGACGGAAGGCAGCTCAGATATATTAAAAATGCTCAGCCAAGGACCTTCTGGTTTGGGGACAAAGATAAATATAAAAAGAGAAAGCCAGTTAGCCAAGGAGTCATAAAATTCTTTCCATTTCCCTTCCAGTATGACAGTACGGGCTAGAAGACCGACACGTGCCCGCCATAGAGGCCCAAACATGCACCTCCTAATGGCGTGCACTGTGGTGTGACGAGTTAATTAGACCTCAGAGCTACGCAACCTACCATCACCAACTAGCAGTTCACAAATCAAACCTGTTCTTCCACTGAGACATGGAAGGAAAAACAATGAAAAGGCCCAAATTCAGTGTAAACACAGAAAGACACGCGCTGCCGCCGCACACAAAATCGCCTGAGAGCTGCTGTGGCTCCCGAATGCCAATTTTCCACAGCAGTAATATCTTACAGCCGTGGAAGAAATTTTGTAGATGTGTGAGGTGAAAGCCCTGAGGGATTTAAAAAGGCTGAGGATGAAGAGGGGTAATAACCTTCAAACACATTAACTCCCCATGTGGATACGGAATGATGCACATTCACATTTATCAAAAAGATAAGGGAACCAGAAAAAGGTCAAAGAGGGGAATCATAATACTCTGTAGAGTGATCAGTCAAACTGAAAGTGATTTCATAGAAAGAGCTCTTGTATTTTTCCATCATTTTTTGGTTTACAACCCGCGACTAATTATTTTATCCATTATTTTGAAATGGGTAATCCTTGTCCTGTGCTTATAAGTCATACTTAATCATGTAGTAAATTTTCCCAAGTATGCCACTTTTTACTGATTGAGAGAGTGAAGGTGGATACGGTTGAACAAAATAAGCTGTATTTCAGTGCGAGTAGTTTTTAGGCTTCCTGAAACGAGGAAATTAACTCAAATAAAGTTCTCTCTCTTGTGAAATGCCTCGGCCTACGCCTTCCACCCCAAACAAGGTTAACGGAGAGCTGCCTGTTGAGCATGTGAACGATCCATTCAGATGGACAGACATATGGCCTTCACTCACTCCCACCCTCTTTTACGGTCATCTGTGGAAAGGTTTAGCGGTATTGTACAGGCCCCTGGGGTGGTGTCAGGGAGACCCCCAGCATCAAACATTAAGAAGTTTCCGGCACAAATCGCACGTACCAGAATTGTCTGATCTCATCTCATGTGCACACTAACTATATTCTATCTCTTGTAGGGGGAAATGTGTCTTTCTGTGTACTCAGACAAACGGTTTACCAACTCCAGTTATCTCTCAGCATTCCCACAGATAAGCACGAACTGGCTGCCTGGATCCAGGGGAGAAGATGGATTACCATCACAGGCAACGATTAAAAAAAACAAGTATTTAGTAGTGCTATTTGAAATATGTATTGGGCACTGCTTTGAATCATGTTGAACTCATTAAGAATGGCTGTCTAGGGGAAACACACTGTAGGAGTGGATTCCATTGTGCTACCTAAGTGGAAAGTCGTTTTCTGCCCAAGTGTTACAGGCTTGCTCTGAATACCGACTCTTCATACCTGCTGGCCAGAGGAGAATAGACTTGAATGAAGGATTGATATTTGTTTTTTCTCAGTCCTATCCAAAACTCAAATTTAGAGAAAGGATTGTTAAGATGTGCTTGAGCCACTATATATATATATATATATACAGTGGGTACGGAAAGTATTCAGACCCCCTTAAATTTTTCACTCTTTGTTATATTGCAGATACTTTCCGTACCCACTGTGTATATATATATATATATATATATATTTGTATGTAGTTAAGAACTGATAAAATGTATATCTTAACTGTAATGCAAGTTGCTTTGGATAAATGCATTTTTTTTTGTCCTTAAGAAAATGTAATTATAAATGAATTTATTTAAAGACAGCCACAATTTGTTCAGTAAACCACTGTTTAATGAAAAAGAAAAACAAAAGCAATTTTATTTTTAGTTTTCCCCCACTGTACTGAAAACATACTGAACCGTGACTTCAAAGCATCCATCCATCTAGAATTGTGACTTCAAAACGTCCATACACACATTATTATTGTTAGTTATTATTATTTTTATTAGTGTAACAGTGCATTACATGAATATAAATAAATAAAAATAGCTAAAAGTATAAAGTAAATATATACAATCACAAACATATTTATAAATATTTAATGTATATACTTATGAAATATAATACGTGTTTTATTATTATTATTATACACGCATGAAAATAATACTTTTTTGAGAGGTGCATGTTTACAATTCTTAAGTTTAGATTTCTTAAGAGAGAGATATCTCTTAAGAAATCTCAATTTGTGAAAATTGGAAAAAAAACTCATCTGGTATAGTTTGTTCTTATAAGGAGAGTGGATTGATATATGAACTACAAAAGCATGGGAACACTGCTTGATGCATCAGTGGAGACACATATACACAGTCAAACTCAGACAAACAGAGTGGGCTGCCAGGTCAAGCCGGTGCAGTCATTACTAGCAGGTTTAGTAAGTATCAGAACTACAAATCCAATAGGCTAGCTGGAGGACACAGTCCTGCTGGTAGTCTCATCAATCACCTGTTCCTTCCATCAGAGATACGAAACACCCACACACAAACATCACCAACAGACACACAAAACCTATACACTGAACCGCTGCAAAGACTGGCTATTCCTGACCCCCACAGACGGATAGCCAAACACTGAGACTATAATCATCCACTACTGGCTACAAATC